TTCTAAAATTTATGATGATTTTTTATTTAAATACTCGAATTAAGTCATATTTCAATTAAACACTTTAATTCATGACAAAATTATCTAATTAAACACTTTTGATTAATTTTTTTGAATTTGTTCGTGTGTATTCTATCTCTAAAGTATATGGTTAAGTTAGCAATATAAACTATACCGTTTTCTTTAATTATATTTGCACATTCGCCTCAATAAGTCATAAAACTTCAGACGATTTTTTACTAGACATTGATGCGTATAATTAGAGGAGCTGACATATTTTATATGGTTAACTTAACTATTTAATAGATGAATGAAGAAGTCTTTTTTTTTTCAAAAGAAATTGAATTAAACTATTTAATTAGAACAATTTATAAGGAGTTTAGGTATTTAACTGGACTTGTACCTCTTTCACACACACACACACACACATATATATATATATAAATTTGAAAATATTATTTTAAATATAAAATTTGTCATTCTTCTTTTAAAAAAAATAATAAAAAGTACTAAACAAAATAAGGAAGGGAGTAGTTTAATTTGAGCTTACATGAAAATTAATTAAGAGAAGAATTATTAATTGAAAGATTATGCATTGTTATTTAATTATATAAAGAAATTTAAAGTAGAGAGATAAGTAAACAAAGTTACTTAGGCTTCATCTATATTTGTACCTAATGATATATCTCCATCTTAATTATCGATTCTCAATCATTAAATCTATCTATTTTGATAATTTTTTATTTTTATACACACTTAATAGTCTAAATAGATTGAAATGAATGACAAGAATCTATAACAAACTGTTAATATTATTAAGATGTTTATTAAAAATTTTATATAAAAATAATTATTCATCACAACAATCCATCCATATTTCTTTCTTGCTACCACTGCCATCTCCCACTATTTCTTTATCACCCGTTATTATCGATTATCATTTTCAACACAATTATTATTGTCGTCAATTATCTTAGTCAGTTATCATCATCATTAATCATTATTAATAATCATTATCATACACCAACAACTCTCTTACAATCATCAATCAATAATTATTATATACCGTCGATAGTTATCTTTACTCACCATCAAAATTAGCTATTTTACCATTATTCATCACAATTATTAATTATCACCATCAACAATGAAAATTAACAATCATTATAGTCTTTAATCACTATCACCATTACCATTAATTACTTCGTATAACCACCATCATCGTCCAAGACAACATTGATACACACACTAACCATCACTAGCCATTAATATTACTAGCATCAATTATCATATAAAAACTTTTTTATTAATACAAAATGCATATAACTTAATCCATAATCTCTTTTCATATAATTTAATTTATAGCTTTGATTCCAGACATCATGATGACTCAATTCTTACAGGAAAAGGGAATCTTCCATGCAATTAGCAAGAAAGTGGTTCTCCTCAACTAAGAAATTGTATACATAAATTAATAGAGGCTATAATTTAAAATTAGTTGATTTTTTTTCCTTAAATCTCAAAGAGAAAGAATAAACTTTTTGGGTCATGTTTCTTTTTTTATTCACTTTCTTATTATTTATCCTTTCCTTCTGTGATTACAATATATTTTAAAAATATCTAATTCTTTTCTATATTTTATATTTGTTTGTGATATATTTTACTTAAACTAAATGACTATCGAAAATAATAAAAATAAAATTATTTATACCACACCCTTTTTAGATGTCACCTATAAAGTTAACTAAATTTGTTGTGATTATTTTTATGTCTAATTAATATCAAACAGTTTTTAAAAAAAAAAAGAAAAAGAAAAAAAAAGAGTATCAAGTTTGAGATATAACGACAAATAGAGGTGGTTATAATCATTCGATTTGACAGCTACTATGGAATCCTCTTACGCTATACTTTTTTTTATCATTGTTATTTATTGTATTGTATGTATCGTTACTATATTTACAATATTTTTTATCGTTATTTAAAATATATTGTATTGTGTGTTGTTAAATTTCATTATTACGTAAAAATAAAAACTCTTATTTTATGGAATAATCAATTTAGTGTATTGTTACTTAATTTCTTTTTTCAATTATATCTTTATATAATATTCCCAAATACTATTTTACTCTTAACCTTAATTATTTAAATCTAGTCAAACCTCCTACCCTAGGATAATTAATGATATTTTTGTAAATTTATAAATTACAATCAAACCAAACAACTAAAAAGTTATTAAACAACAACAAACAATACAGTCTAGACAAACATTGTATCTACCATACAATACAGTACAATAAAGTGCAATACAGTACAATACATTATGAAACAATAGGTAACAATAATCCAAACAAAGTGTTAACGTTTTGTTGTTTAATTAAATAAAAATACTCCTAATAGGAAAATTGGAACAAAATGAGTTAGAAAGTCTGTAGAATTATTAGCAGGCGAACAATTTCCACGAATATTTTTAACTTGTGTATTTTTCTATCTGTAGAGTATATTAAATATACAAAAATAATTATAATAGAGTTATGAGTCATTCTAAAGGGCGGGGTTGTGAACAAACGATCCAACAAAGAAGACTATTCGTTTCTTAATCAGATGTCTCAAATTTAAATTATAGATATAAAATATTATTAATAGAAAAAATTTCTTCTCAAATAAGATCTTGCATAGCTTAAATTAAAATTGATCCGACTTTAATGATGATAAAAGAAATTGTTAGGTTGAAATAAAGCAAAAGTCAAGTATAGAGAAACACAAGTGCTTTGTGAATCTATAGTTGAAAATTAGTAAATATAAAGATGGTACAATTTGTTAAGATGAAGATATGACAAAGAAAATAAATAATTAAAAGGGCAGACAAATCTAATGGAATCTCATCAAACACTTGAGCCAGTTGGGGAAATTTTAACTAAAAATAAATTAAGTACAACATGTAGACAATTCTTTACTTGAAAAATATTTCCATTTTTTAAATTATTATTATTATTATTTTTGGCATCACCTGTCAACATTTTTTTATTTCTATTTTGGAATCTTACCAAATTGGAAATCAGGTGATGATAATAGTACTTGGAAAGAGTACAGGTTGTATAAAGCATATACTTTGGGTATATATATATATATATATATATATATATAAAAGTATTTGCATCCCCTCCACTTTTAATTATCTTGTTGTATTTTTCGAAAGTTAAATTGATTTATATTTATTTAATATATTAAATGAAAAAATTAAATATTTAAAAATTATACGAAAAGTATTATAAATTGAATTCTTTTGTACATCAATATGATGCAAAAATATATCGTAAAAATTAATCAAAATTCTTATTGTTTGACTATAAAAAGAAAACCATTAACCATGACTATAGAAAATAATTAAAAAGAAAATTGTTTCAAAATTAAAGGTACTTTTTAGAAAATATTTATCACCTAATATTATCAAAATTGAGTATTTTCAAGTTTCAATTAACAATATTACTCTATCATAATAAAAATCATATTATTTTATTTTTTTGTTGAAAGTGGTTTTTATTGTCTAATCAGAAAAATAATCAGTAGTATTATATAATAGTATAAGATAAGAAAATTGATGTGTTGATTTCAAATAAAGTTGGGAACTTTAGAATTGTATTGGACTTACAAACATTATCAAAAAGTCAGGATAAGAATATGACACTTATTTTATCTCATTCATTCTTCAATCTTTATCAAAGAAAGAAAATTTTGCTAGTCCTTTTCCTTAAATGGAGCTTTACGTCCCATAAATTTAAATTAGTTAAATTCTAATCGAATATTGATACCAAAAAATAAAAAATAATAAAATAAAGATTTATCAAGCATATCTCTTTCGCACAAGAGAATGCTATATAAAGTACTATTTCCGTCCCTAGTTATTTGTCCATTTTTTCTTTTACAGTTGTCTTTAATTACTTGTTCATTTTAACAAATCAAGAAATGACAAATTTTTTGACCTATTATATCCATAATTAAATGACTAATTACTTTGAAAAATGTGAAAATACTTTGAAAAATGTAAAAATTTTCATCCACTTCATAATTAATAGGGATTAAATGGTAAACTCACTACGTCATTAATTATTTTCTTAATAGGTTTGTCAATTCAAAAGTGGACAAGTAAAAAGGGACAGAGAGAGTAGTAAATAAAAGTATAATGATAAACTTATCAATTTTCTTAAGGGACGTGAAATCTTGACTTCAAGAGAACTTGAATTTAAGAGATTATTAGATAAGGGTATATGATAAATTTACCTAATCTTTTTAAGAAACGGTAAATTTTAAACTGATGATATATAAATAGAAATTGAGGGAGTAGTTTTTTAGTGTTGTTAAATCACCGATCGACATTAGTTACAGACATTTACAAGAGTCTAAAACTACATATTTAATACTCCCTACGTTCTTTTTATATGTCACTTTTTAAAATTACACTTGTATTAAAAAAATTAAATAATTTTACTCTTTTATTCTTATTTAATATTTTATTTAGTTAATTTTTCAATAAATGATGAATATGTTATATTTCAAATTGACTATTTAAATTTTTGTGTTTATTTTCAAGATCAAATTTTATAGAAGACTACTGAATGGTGAGAATAATTAATCAATGTATAAAGAACTCCAATGAATATTAATTACTTATCAGTTTTCATAGGTCGATTAAAATATATATTTTTAAGACTAATTAACTATTATATCAAAGATAAAGTAAGAAGAATATAGTAATTTATACATTAATTATATGAAATGACACATATTAAGATCTAACTATTTATAGAAAGTTATACTTACAAAAATGAACGAAAAAAGTAATAATTAAGCTATTTTCATTAATTAGTCACTCTTTTTTTAACGTATGATTTTGATCTTCTTGCTAACATTTTAATGTTAACTATGTATTTGATTGGAAAATCTCAGATTCTTTACGGTCACTTCAAATATAGAATCCAACCAAAAATAAAGGGAATTATATAAAACAAATCCAAACAGAAAAATCATATTCAACCAAAAAAATAACACCAAAATTTCTGAAATTCCATAGTCAAAATATAAAAATTACATTTAATTACTCTCAAACTATTTTTTTTTCCTCTTCACTTCCTCCTCATAATTAACAACAATAATCATCAACCTCTTTCTGACTCTGTCACCACCACCAGAACAAATAAATACATTTAATTTGTCTGGGGAAAATACCACTAATTAATTAACAACCTTAAAAAAAATTAAAAATTTACCCACATCTCATTGGAACCCAGCAAACCTTCAGAAAATTAAATTCTGAGTTCTAGGATGGTTTTAAAATTTCAAAAAAAAAAAAAAACTAACCCTAAATCTTCCTCTTTCAAACAAGTGAATCGAACCGGATTGAACCGAATCGAACTGAACCGGGGTTTTGTGAAACCCGGTTTAAACTCTAGCATTATGCAAAAGAGGAGAAAATCCTTGTGAAGCATCTTCTTTACAAGACTGACCGAACCGGACCGGTTTTTTAAAAGCCCGGTTTAAACTCTAGCATTATGCAAAAGAGGAGCAAATCCTTGTGAAGCAGCTTCTTTACAAGACTGATCTAAACCATTCATCATCTCATCTAAACCCAAATGACCGAACCGGTCTTCATCCCGGTTCAATAACCTTAATATCTCCGAAAAGTAGTCCACTTCACAAGGCAAAACTAAACCGCCGGTTCTTTGATACCCAAACTCCTCCTCTGCTTTATCAAGTAGAGATATAAATACAGGGAGGTTCAAGAACCGGGTTGGTATAACGAACCGGGTTCGTTCTGGACCGACGTAAACCGCTAAAGATCCTGAAGGGGTGCGACGACGGCGGTTCGAACCGGGTAAAACCGGTTCATCTGAATCGGATGAGGAATAGGATAAAACGCCACGGCGCTTAAGGGATTTATGTTTCCATCGCTTAACAACTTGTTTGAGACGTACAATTTGAGTAATCATATTCACTTTTTTAATGGTGGAAGCCATTGTGTGGGTGTGTGAATTTTTTGTGATGAGAAGAGTGAGTGAGTGTGAGAGAAAGGAGGAGGTGTTTTGGTGTTTTGGGACTTGTTATTATAGAGGGAAATTTGTTTGGAAGAGTTGAGGTGGGGTGGGGTGGGGGTAAGTAGGGTGGTGGGGTTGTAGAAAAAGTGTAGTAGTACTAAATTCCATTGAGTTTGTTTCCTTCTTGTACTTATTTGATTTGATCAAGATAGTCTTCCAAAAACATTTTTGGAAAAATGGTAATAGTTCGTTAAAAGGTAAGTTATTTGTAGTTTATTTGGATTGACTTAAAGTCAGTTAAATTGACTTTTAAGTTTGTTTTTGATTTTTGGAAATGTTTGATAAGTATAAAAAATAACGTAAAATAAGTTAAAAATGACTTAAGATAAGTTACGAAGTGTTTGACTAGGTAAAAGAATAACTTAAAATAAGTCAGAAATCAAAAGTAGGTCTTTCCCTATTTATTATTTTTTTGACTTAAATGTTATTTCAGTTTGACTTGTTATTTTTTACTTAAAAACTATTTTTTCTAAGTCAATCTAAACGGGTTCTTATTTAGGTATGAAATTAATGTGGTGTTAATTTGATTTCACATAAAATAATACATATGTACAAGTTATAACGAAAGATATGAATTATTTTAGTATAAAATAAATAGACTTCAATGATTCTGGTGTTAGTTGCATCATATTTCGGAAGTTTATTAAATTACTATAATCCTAGATTATTCATAATTTGTTGATATATTACTCTTTCGCTCGATACATATCAAAAGATACGTGAGTTATGTATCAGATGTATAATTTATAATTTATGTATTTATAGACATTGAAATTTTGTGAAATTCTACAAGATGCGTTCAATTTGAGTTGGAATTCTACAAATTACGTTCAACTCAGATAAGGATTCTTGGAGGCTACTCAACCCTAAACCCTAGTTTATGCCTATATAAAGGGTACTAAATTACCTTAAAAGGCATCTCGAAAAATTCACAAAGAGATCAAGATTTCGAATATTCCACAAATTGATGGATTATTCATATAGAGAGGTCAAATCTAAATCATCCTAGTTCGAGAAATATGCCACTAACGGTCCTTGAATCATGGATAAATCATCTTAGAGAGTAGAACTAAGGGAGGAACAAATTTGTACTCACAATCTTGATGAATAAAATCATGTTTCTTCATATTTTATTTGTATGTCTTATTTATTTTTCATATGTTTACAGTTTGTTGCAAAAATATTGGCACGCCCAGTGGGACCAAATCTGCCCTTCATCTCTTCTCTCTTAAATCAAATATGAAAATCTGAAGCTGCAAAGGTGGAAGAATGAGTATCTCAAACCTCGTCTTTGAGTTTCACAAGTCTACACTCCGTCAAGCCTTGAAGCAGGGGGCTTTGTAGACATTGAAATTTTGTAGGATTCTACAAGATGCGTTCAATTCGAGTTGGGACTCTACAAATTGTGTTCAACTCAGATAAGAATTCTTAGAGGCTACTCAACCTTAAACCCTAGTTTATGCCTATATAAAGGGTACTAAATCTCCTTAAAAGGCATCCCGAAAAATTCATAAAGAGATCAAGATCTCGAATACTCCACAAATTGATGGATTATTCATATAGAGAGGTCAAATCTAAATCATCCTAGTTCGAGAAATACGCCACTAACGTCCCTCGAATCATGAATAAATCATCTTAGAGAGTAGAATCAAGGAAGGAACAGATTTGTAAACTCACAATCTTGATGAATAAAATCATGCTTCTTCATATTTTATTTGTATGATTTATTTATTTTTCATATGTTTAAAATTTGTTGCAAACAGTATCAGATATATAATTATAAACCATATTCATACTGATTTAGGTATGTATTAATTGTGGTTATATATCAACAATGACATTTATTTCATATATTGCACGGAAACAAAATTATAATGTACGAGGTGGAGTAATGTAACCAAATGTCAAGAGGAGGAGAAGATGGTCCTTTCGTAATCAATTCAAATGATAGAGATTTTTTTTTAGATCAAATTGCGTAATTATCTTATAAGTAAACTTTGCATCATAATTTATAATCCCAACATAAAATAATACATAAGTTATCTCATAACTAATTTATACTCACTTCATTAAGTTAATTTTTGATATGTTTCACATCTTTTAAGAAAAGTAGATTAAGACATAAATTGGACCTAGTATTTTATTTATACGCTTATTTATTATTGTTAAATTTATGATTAAAAATAACTAAATGTTAATTAATCATTAATTTCAATACTAATTAATAAAGGATAAAATTGAAAGAACACTCTAAAAATAGTTTTGAAAACTAAACAATTAAGTTAATTTGAAAATGAAAAATGTCTCAAAAATTAACTTACTGTTATAAAATCAAGCTCATAAGAATATAATCATAAAGAGAAGAAGACAAGAGAAGTAGATAGAAGAAAAGGATTTTTCTTCTTATTAAAGTGTATGTAAGTCTCATCTGTATATCTTACAATAGTGAATG